ACCCGGGATATAGCCCTGATGTATTACCTCTCATAGAATATGCCTTGTTGACTCAGTCTGAATATCTGAATTAAGAAAATAAGTCACTGTGTGTGTTTCTCTTCCTGCAGAGGCCACGATGCCAGTCAGATAACCTTAGCACTGGGTACTGCAGCCTCATATCCCCGAGCCTGTCAGGCTCTCGGGGCAATGCTGTCCAAAGGAGCTCTGAATCCAGCAGATATCACTGTCCTCTTCAAAATGTTTACAAGCATGGACCCACCTCCAGTAGAATTGGTCAGTAGTTATCTTTTTGTAACTTGTGAAATTTATTTCTGTTACAGTAGCACTCAGAAATGGGATGTCTTGTGCAAAGTCTTGTGTGGGCGCTAATTAGCCCTTGCTCATCCCTCTGTAATTGTCAGTAATTCCTGAATGTGAAACTGCTACTTTTGGTTTGCATTAGCTTCTTAGTAGTTTTGCTGGGGGGGTTTAATAATTTAAAGGGTTTTTTTACTTATAACTAAATTAAAAGTTCTAACATGGGTTCTGGTAATAAAGAGCAAGATTCTGATACTTTAGCTATCTGGTCTGTAACTCTCTTTCCTTGTTTTTTCCTTTCTGGCAAATATCTGTGTTTCTTCAGAAAACTATGTAATGCCCTCTAAAGAAAAACAATGTGTTATYTTGTTCTATGCAAGGTATATCGGATGCAATAACTCCAATCCTATTCACCTCTCATGATTCTCAGGCTCTGATAAATTGTTCATTCTCTTCACAGATTCGAGTGCCTGCATTTCTGGACCTCTTCATGCAGTCCTTGTTTAAACCAGGTGCTAAGATCAACCAGGATCACAAACACAAATACATCCACATACTGGCATATGCAGCTAGTGTTGTAGAGATGTGGAAAAAGGTAATGTTCAYTTCTGTGAATAGCATTATTTTTGCCTACAGCAGAAGAAAATACATGGTTGCAAAGTTGCTTGTTTTAAAATTTTGTATTTAGCTTGATTTACTTATTTTAATATGAAATGTTTCTGGCTTCAATTGAAATGATTAACAAGCATAGATCCTGATACTGCAACATACTGTAAAAGTCTGAGTGCACTGAGATTTAAATAAAGCAAGCATCCTTGTACTTCAGCTCACTCTTAATTAATTTTCCTGAAACTTGCATGTGAGTCTAAATTTTGAGACACAGGATACAATCCTAGGCTCATTGCAGGTTACAAATTCCTTCCCTTGAATAGCCAAAGACATCTGCAACTTTTGCATTCAAACTTTGCAATAATTTTGCAGAACAAGAGAGTCAGTATCAACAAGGATGAACTCAAGTCAACCTCAAAAGCCATCGAAACTGTTCACAATCTGTGTTGCAATGAAAACAAAGGAGCATCAGAGCTGGTTGCAGAGCTGAGCACTCTCTATCAGTGCATCAGGTGAGCAGACAGGCTGGGAATCTCTCATGAAGACATAAATCCTGTCTTTCACACAGAATTTGTCCTCCTTGGGTCACAGAACATGCCCATCTGTGCCACTGGAGAAAGATGGCAGATGACTTTGTCTTCCTAATAAAATTTACATTTATTTTTCATGCTGCTGTACTAAAGTGACCTCTCTCTGTAGGTTCCCAGTGGTGGCTATGGGTGTGTTGAAGTGGGTGGATTGGACAGTGTCAGAGCCACGGTACTTCCAGCTGCAGACTGAYCACACTCCAGTTCACCTGGCACTGCTGGATGAGGTAAGAGTGTCTATAAAACTTTGCTGGAGAGCAAGAACAATTTTGATGCTTGTGTAACACCCAGGCCACTGCCTGTCATTTGCAGTAAGGCAGTAAATATGCAGAGATGAATCTATTCAGAGTTAATTATTTGGTTTTGTCAGCTCAGCAGTATTTACGCCAGGAAAACTTGGGCGTCAAAGAAAGAAATAATGGAATACTTTTCTAAATTAATGTCTGTCTGGCACTGAGCATCAATGTAAATTTGTCTGGTGCATTGTGTATTAAATTGCAGTTCTGAGGATCTCAGTTTGCTGTCTTGTTTGCAGATCAGTACATGCCATCAGCTGCTTCATCCCCAAGTTCTACAACTTCTTGTCAAGCTCTTTGAAACAGAACATTCTCAGCTGGATGTGATGGAGCAGGTGATTCTCARAAGGATTCAGTATTTGTGTTCCTTSATATCAGTCAGTCCTATCCAATTCAGCAGCTTTTGCTCTCACAGCAATTTTCATTTAGAAATTGTTAAAATGTAGCATAGCAGATATTGAAGCTGTAAAAATTGCATACTTTGAGAGCAAGTTCTGATGTGTTGGCTCTTCGGTCCCTGCACCACCAGCTGGAGTTGAAGAAGACTCTCCTGGACAGGATGGTGCACCTGCTCAGCCGAGGGTAYGTCCTGCCTGTTGTCAGCTACATCCGCAAATGCCTGGAGAAGCTGGACACGGACATCTCGCTCATCAGATACTTTGTGACAGAGGTCAGCAGCAAAAACTGTTCACTCAAGTCTAGAGATCAAGTTTAACATCAGCTGCATGTRTTTTGGATATTCAGAAATACTCCTGGTTCAGGTCAGATTCTGAGCCGTGTCTCAGTGTTCACCAGGATGTGATTTGGTCCTACTGGTCCTGACTTCTGGCAGTAATAAGGTACTGGATAGAGTACCACAGGAATATATGGTTAATTATTTGTATGGAGAACAAGAGGTCCTAAATGCCACTAGTATGCTTTCAAAACTAGTATGTGAATGAAATACTGTCCCTCCTACCCCTGTAAGTGGAAGAATTATCAGTTTATGTCTGCTGTTTCAGGTGCTTGATGTGATTGCTCCTCCATATACCTCAGAYTTTGTACAGCTTTTTCTTCCCATCTTGGAGAATGAAAGTATTGCGGGAACTATAAAAACAGAAGGTGAACACGACCCTGTCACTGAGTTCATAGGTGAGTCACATTAATTCCTTGCACACCTGCTCCCATTTGTGTTTGTTACAACTTGCAAACAATGTTTAGGAGGAAGATTGCTAAAAATAGGAATGCCTGCCAGCTGTTTTCACAGACAACTTCCCTTTTCAGGGCCTGTGTTTAGCAATTTTCCTGAAATCAAGAATCTGTGGGTAGTAGTGAGGAAATTGAAGATAAATAACTGCTTTTTGAGAACTAGCACTGCAATAAAGAAAGAAGAGGAATTGAAGTTGTCTGTCATAATATACTTCATCCTGAAACAAAAATATCTGTCCAGACCCTAAAATCCTAATTATTTACATAATGCAAAAATCCATACGCAAATTTATAAATCAGAAAATCATAGTAATGTGGGGGTTTTTTTCTCTCCTTTTAAGCTCATTGCAAATCTAACTTCATTATGATGAACTAAGCAGTGGACCAAGAATTCAGACAGAGCTCACRATCACTGCTTTGCCGTGTTCTTCACCAGTGAAGTTCTGTAACTGGGCAACACAGCAGCAAGAAAAAACCAACAAAACCAACAAACCTAAAACAAGGAGGAAGGGGCTGAAGGGCATTTGATGGACTTGCACAGTGACCTTGAAGTTCTTATCAGAGGAGTGTTTGTGTTTCATATCGGAGAACTGTTAATGTCATTTGGAAAATGGAGTGATACCAAAGGATTTTCTGTTGTTGCACAGATCAGTATAAATCAGTGTCCTGAAGAGGATGGATAACAAGAAACAGATTTATGAAAGAACATTATTTTGATTACGTGCAGAATTTGTTATTGATTCTTTGTGTAATACACAAGATCTGAAGAATGGGGAAGATAATTCCTACAAAAAACACTTTGTAGATAGTTCTTTGAATAGGTCTTGAATGCTYTAGGCTTTGATGTTGCAAGTTGTAAAAAATAGGAGTTTTTGTGATTAGCTTGGTGCTGCAGAGAAGCCCTAATGCCTGTTTCTCACCTTTGCATTATATTAGAAATTTTAAGTATTCTACATCTTCACTGCTATGAAAAAGACCCTGTTTTGTGTAACACAAGAGGAGTTGTAACAAGGCTAGTTTTGTATTACCAGATGAATTTTATGTGAGTGTGTTACCTTTCAGAATCTATTTTTTGCTAAATAGATGCATCAGATGTTAMTGGTAAGTTTCATTACCATGTCATTACTGTCCAAAAACTATGAATGTGTCATGAAATTTCATAACTGCTTGTTGTGGCTTTGTTTTTATACTTATCTCTACTCTGTCCTGGTTGATGCCAAACAGTGGGGGATACACCCAGAAATATGACTTACCTTTGAATAAAGGTGTTCTTTCTTTTCCAGAGATGTCTTTCAAAGTTTTATTAAGMTCACTCCTCTCTGTTCATTGGGCCAGATTTCTTTTTACACCCCTCACTTTTAAACAAAGAGTAGTTTCCTTGAACAAACAAGCCCATTTTGCTTTTTCAAGCACATTTTTCTGCAGAACCTGCTTTCTAAAAGATGCTGAAATTTTAAGTTCAACTGAATGTAAATTTAAAAAAGGAAATTGTCTGAAAAGGACAAAAGTTGCTTCTGCAGCTTTTTAGAACTTTGAATAGAAGATTTACTATCATTCCCTTTAGACTTGCATGACACCTAYGTTTCATAGTTTAAATAAATTAGCATACAGGTTTGGCTTTCTGCAGCTCTTGACTTAATTCCACAAAGGAACAAACTACAGAAACAATTCATCTTATAAAGAATCAATTTAAGATATAGCCCTGTATATGCTCTTAGTGATAATCAAGTTTGTTCTGTGTCCRCTGCAACTTTGCCAGCAGTTTGAACCAAGTTTATTTTTGCTTTCCTGCACTCACCTTGCTATCACTTCCTCTAAACAATTCCTCTGCACTAAGCCTGTAGCTGATTTTTAACTTGTTAAACCTTGTGTGATGCTGTGATCAGTGCTGTTATACGACCACATTCATACCTAGTTGTTCCATCAGGCCTTTCACAAGAAAAAGTCCAGTGAAAGTAGCACCATCCACAAGGAGACAACCACACACATATATGGTAAGCTCTTATAATATCCCCTCATGTAAGAGAAAAATCTGTTTATTAAATGCAATTAACAATGCAAGTTAATAACATTTGATATGGCACTGATTTATCAAATTAGTGAGGAGTTCTGGGTTATGGCAATTTATATTTTGCCTCTGTGCCCTTTTTCTCCTAAAATCACATATTAAAGCAAGAAMATTTGAGCAAAACCAAGACAAATAAGGAAGTGTTTAGACTTCTGCTGGTCAAAGTAATTCCTATTATATCATTTTGGTGGATAAAAATAACCTCATTATTTTAGGCTTCCAACACCACTGTTTCACCAGAAGGTCAAGGAAACAGGATTTAATACTTTGAATTTATTAAGTCCAGACTTACGGATTTTGCATCACTGCAACATATTTGCTCAGTACCGTCAGAGAATTTAAAGTAAGCTCTAGACCCAAATATTGAGTAYATTTTTCCAACACAGCTACATTATTTGTATTTAAAAAAATAGATATTTACATGTACCCGTTCAGWGATTCAGTCAGTATGATTTTAATACTGTGCATTAAGGTGGAAAAACTCCTTCATGGGTAAATGACTTAGGTTGTGAATAGTTATCTCAAGGCAGTTCTGTATTTTTTGAAGGCATCTGGKCTAATTTTGCAAAATTGCCTGATGGTGTTGAACTGTGAAAGAGTCTTAGGCTATTATTCTATAAACAAAAAGAGGTCGTGCTGGGAAGCTTCCAAAGTACCTAAACAAAAAGATGTACCATGTAGAATCAAGGAAGTATAGGATCTCCATATGCACAGTCCTCTTCAATAGCCAGATTGTAGTCTGCTCCTCTTCCACCCTTATAGGCACTTGTCACAATCCTCAGCCAACCTCTTTCACCCTGTAAAGGATTTAATTTGCATTTCAAATTAGGAAACACAACTGTAGAAACGACATTGTCGAGTCTGTTCTGTCTGCCAAATATGATTTACATGAATGCAGGAATTCACTCAAGCTGAAGTGTAACCCTGCATTCACAGGGGAACCTGCTCTGGCAAATTTGCATCCCACCGATCAGCCCAAGTATGTGGCTTGATTTTTGCCTACAACTAACAGCAGTTTCCAGTTGCCTATAACAGGAGCTGCACGTCCTGGAAAGGCAGAAGTTAGGATTGAGCTGACATTACTCCAGTAGCTTTGGCCAAATATTCTTGTCRTTAGATTAGCTGCGTTTCATTTTCAAACTGTTAATCTCGTTCAGAGAAAGGTTCAGCTTTATATCCACAGGCTGTAGCTTTGYAAGTGACAAACCCCACCTTCCTTCCCAAGTCAAAAGTGTGTTCCCGTATTTCCTTACCCAGGGTTCACCCCAGGAGTTACGAACTATCCAATATTCTGTTCCATTTTCCACACCCCAGCCAGCCACAGACACGATGTGATTCACTGTTGGTGAAGGGTTGTACTCTGTGTACAATCCCCCTGTGTAAGCGTCCAGCTTTTCAGTAGCCATTATGCCACAGCTGTAAGAAAACAGAAAAGTTTTTAYACAAGGGGATCATGGCAAGGGCCTGGCTAGAAACCAGTTGGTTTTCTTGCATTTTGAATTCTGAGCTCAGTTTATATACAAATAAGCTAAAGCCAGAGCTGCTGACATGCTASGATGAAAATGTACACTGAGTTTCAAGTATTTCACTCCCAGTATTACTGGTAGATAAAYATTTTCTTTTTTACCTAATTGGTCCATTAGTGTAGATCTCTGCCATCATTTTTTCTCTTCCACTGACAGACCCATAGTCAGCAACTTTCCAGAGAGTGTAGTTCTTGATCACGTGGCATTCTCCAAAAGTGACACAAGTTCCACACTGGTTGAATTTCTTACATTCTATAAGACAAAGGTGAGATTATCACTGCAGGAGGGTGCTTTTCTTAAGTGAAGTGATGATAGGAGACTAAGCTTTTATAACTTAATTGAGTAACTTCAAAGTAATTAATAATACATATTCTCTCTGGTGACTCATTTACTTTTTGGAAACCACATTTAAACCACATTTCAAGTCCCTATTATCACCAGTTATTATTCTTTGCTTCATAGGTATAAATGCTTTGATGAGGACATAGAGAAACCATTCCAGTCATACATGACCAGACAAAGGTTAAATTTCTCCTCTGTTAAGCTTGAAGTGACACTTGTACATATTTCAATACATCAGAGATTGTGTGTCAGAGATTTCAGAGATTAAATTAAAACAATTCAGCTGTACAAACTTGCCTGAGCATGATTTAGTGCTACACTGTCTGTCTGGAGTAGGAGACACACATAGGCCCGTAAAGAAAACCTGTTCTGTCAGTCAAACTGCAGGAAGCACTACTCTGAAAACCCAAGAAAATTTTTTAATGCACTAAGATCTGCTAAATGTGGGCAGAAATGCTACAGCAAAGCAGAGACATCCTACTTTGATCCTTGGCTTGGTAGTTGTTGCAGGTCTCGTCAGGAATGCCGTGGTCGTGGGCGTACATCCAGACCCCAGAGTGATCCCCACCCTCACAGGACCCAGCATCAGCACAGTCAATGACATTCTGGACAGACAGGTAGGCAGAAGGCCAGGCACCCTTCCTCTTGATGTTGATTCGATCTGTAAGGATAAAAAAATGGGGTTTGTTACTGGAATACGTGGGTGGCTACACGTGGAAACTGGTTTTGAAACTGTCTCCTCTTCACTGAACCTATAACTGTTTGCAGACAGCAGCACTTGTGGTTAGAAAAGCCCCTGCTGTCAGCAGTGAGGAACACAGCATGACCTAATTCACACCAGAGGCTGAGTTATTATTGTGGGTTTCCATTAGGAGGSTTTTTTCCATTAAAAACTCGGCAAAAACATGCAGATGAATAAGATCTGCCTAAAGCCTTGAGCCCTAGACCTCTTTTAATTCAATCCACACTTTTGAAAACTTCCAGATCTGTTTCCTAACTTTGACAGCAAAGAGTTTTCAAATGCATATCATAAAATCAGCTCTGACCAGCATCTTTTGGAGACATTTATGTATWAGTCCATGCATAAACATAAGCCCATGGAGCCCAGGTTGCTGGCCCTGAGAGACAGTCTTAATGCAGGAGAAAGCCCTCTGAGTTATCTCCTTGCTGTTACATCAGCATCTCACTGTTATCCTGCCCTCTCAGACACACACTRCCACCCTGCTGCCTTATTTTGTCAGAAACAACAAGCTTACTTRGCAGAAAAGCTTCCTGATGAGTATTTATAAACTGCTTCTCAGTCTGCATTAACAGTCTTAACTGATGCCACTGTAGTAGTTTAAATCCTATTGGTACCAACACTGTTGTTGCACTRTTGCGTGCAAATCATTCTCTCTAGAGCCACTACTTCTCCATCTGTAGCAAACCACTACTTCCCCTTAACTAAGAAAAAGGCTGATAGAGAGATTCCTGCTGAAATCAGACTTGTGTGTCTGCTGTGGGGATCATTTGAATGACAGGGCTCCTGTAGCAAATATCCCCCAAGAGGCAACTTCTTTCGCTTCCTCATTCTCAGCATGGCTGGAGCAGCCCCTGCTGTAGTGCAGCAGGCTGAGGTACCAGAAAGGAGAAGGAGACTTGAAAACTGCTTTTGCATCTGCTGTCGCCATCACTACACCTCCAAGCACAGGTCAGAAACCCCAGGWCCTAAAGAGCAGATTGGGATGGCTATGACCACATTCCTTCTGCAAACAGGTTTTTAACCACACCAGCATTCCCCSCTTTCTCCCTTTGGATAAGGTGGAAACAGCCTCACTCCCATGGCTTTCCCAATTAAAGCCAACCCTCATTGCCTTCAGCTTGGGGACTTCACAGACATCTCAGCCTCGGGTTTGCTGCCTTAATCACTGCAGTGATTCAGCACCTTAGACCAGCTGTCAGTAACCTGAAGCTAAACTTCCTTTGCTTCCCGAAAACTCSCGATCCCGGCGGGCAGCAGCCCGGCAGGTGAGCCCGAGCGTACCTGCCAAGGCGCTGGTGCTGCCGTGAGCCCAGCAGGAGCCGCAGTACTGGGGGATGTGCTGGTTCCGAGTGGTGCTGGCGTAATTCACCCCGTTCACGTTCCTCCAGTCCCAGCTCTGCGGCAGCGCCGACACGTCCAGGTACTCGTGCGGSCGGGGGTAGGTCCTGCGGGGGAACGGGGTGGGGGTTTTTGTTAAAAATCCCAGGATTTCACTGAGTTTCGTAACGAGGCCGAGTGTCCGGCGGGGTCACGTGATCGCTCCGGGCCCCGAGGTCTCGTGACCGCCCCCCCCCC